GGGGAAGCGTCCGGACTGGAAGGGGGGGAAGCGTCCGGACTGGAAGGGGGGGGGGAAGCGTCCGGACTGGAAGGGGGGGAAGCGTCCGGACTGGAAGGGGGGGAAGCGTCCGGACTGGAAGGGGGGGAAGCGTCCGGACTGGAAGGGGGGGAAGCGTCCGGACTGGAAGGGGGGGAAGCGTCCGGACTGGAAGGGGGGGAAGCGTCCGGACTGGAAGGGGGGGAAGCGTCCGGACTGGAAGGGGGGGAAGCGTCCGGACTGGAAGGGGGGGGGAAGCGTCCGGACTGGAAGGGGGGAAGGGGGAAGCGTCCGGACTGGAAGGGGGGGAAGCGTCCGGACTGGAAGGGGGGGAAGCGTCCGGACTGGAAGGGGGGGAAGCGTCCGGACTGGAAGGGGGGGAAGCGTCCGGACTGGAAGGGGGGGAAGCGTCCGGACTGGAAGGGGGGGAAGCGTCCGGACTGGAAGGGGGGGAAGCGTCCCGGGGGGGAGGGAAGCGTGGACTGGAAGGGGGGGAAGCGTCCGGACTGGAAGGGGGGGAAGCGTCCGGACTGGAAGGGGGGGAAGCGTCCGGACTGGAAGGGGGGGAAGCGTCCGGACTGGAAGGGGGGGAAGCGTCCGGACTGGAAGGGGGGGAAGCGTCCGGACTGGAAGGGGGGGAAGCGTCCGGACTGGAAGAGGGGGGGAAGCGTCCGGACTGGAAGGGGGGGAAGGTCCGGACTGGAAGGGGGGGAAGCGTCCGGACTGGAAGGGGGGGAAGCGCGTCCGGACTGGAAGGGGGGGAAGCGTCCGGACTGGAAGGGGGGAAGCGTCCGGACTGGAAGGGGGGGAAGCGTCCGGACTGGAAGGGGGGGAAGCGTCCGGACTGGAAGGGGGGGGAAGCGTCCGGACTGGAAGGGGGGGGAAGCGTCCGGACTGGAAGGGGGGGAAGTGTCCGGACTGGAAGTGGTTAAATCAATCTAGATTTTAGAAGTTCTGGGTTACCGTAGACCCAGCTTTTTTTCTTTTATTGCCCTCAGTGTCCTTGTTGGGAGAGACTCACCCCCTCTATTTGTCCTGGTTTGGCTCTCAGTACCCTGTAACCACTTCCTGAACACACTACGTATATATACAGCCTTTCAGCAAGTGGGTATACTAATATACATACATTCACCCGCCACTTTAGGAGGTCCACCTGTTCAATTGCTCATTAACGCAAATTGCTAATCAGCCAATCACATGGCAGAAACTCAATGCATTGAGGCATCTAGATGTGGTGAAGACAACTTGCTGAAGTTCAAACCGAGCATCAGAATGGGGAAGAAAGGGGATTTAAGCGACTTTGAACGTGGCATGGTTGTTGGTCTCAGACGGGCTGGTCTGAGTGTTTCGAAAACTGCTGATCTCCTGGGATTTTCACACACAACCATCTCTAGGGTGTACAGAGAATGGTCCGAAAACGAGAAAATATCCAGTGAGCGGCAGTTGTGTGGAGGAACATGCCTTGTTGATGTCAGAGGAGAATGGGCAGACTGGTTGGAGATGATAGAAAGGCGACAGTAACTCAAATACCCCCTCGTCAGAACCAAGCTATGCCGAATGCCATCTCTGAATGTACATGTCCAACCTTGCAGCAGATGGGCTACAGCAGCAGAAGACCACACCAGGTAGCAAGGTGAACCTAATAAAGTGGCCGGTGAGTGTATAATCAAGATAAAGGGCCCTGTTGATTAATTTAGTCACCATATCCTTTACAAAAAACCGTCAAAAAAAGGAGAAAAGAAACGAGATTAACCAATGCCGATGCCTTCTCTCAGAACAGAGAGAAGACATCAGCGCCAATAAAATCCCATTTCCTTTGTTGACTGTTAATTCACACAAGGTGTTATACTAAAATCATGGATGCAGTTGAAGCCAGAATCTTGGTATCATTTTTTTCTTTTACATCCGGTGAACAGCTGTCTAGTAAAAGTGATCAAGGTGGCTCTAAAGCAGCCCGATCACTTTTACTGTACCGAGAGGGGGCAACTCCCTCCCACTGCTGCTCATGATGGTTCCCAGGATCTCCCATTCCTCTGGGGTGCCCAGGACTGCAGAAAACAGCTGGGGTGGCTTCACACAGAGCAGAGGGAGGAACATCCATTCTCTGATCCTGATTCTTTGCAATAAATGCCAGGAGCAACAATGATTTTATCACTTCCTGTTTCAGAGCTTTCATCACTTCCTGTTTTCAGAACGGTCTTTCTATAACTATTACAGCCATCAAAACCGATAATCAAGCACAATCTATGCTTGTTTAGCTGCATTAGAGGCCAGGAGAGACATCAGGGGTCTAACAGACCCCTGATGCCTCCATAAAGATGACTTGTGTCCGACCTGACTCGCCACGAACGTTGGAGTGAGAGCAATAATTCATGATTAATTCTTCGATGAAAACCTGTAAAGCACTGCCTATGAAAAAGTTTAGGTAGCGCAGTCTTTGCCATTTCTCAGGTGTGCGCAGCTTTGAGTCTTAACTTGTTTGAGATCTATTAACTTTTATATTTTGCAAATATCACTGGACATTATATATATATATAATTTATTTTAAGGGTCCTGTTGATTAATTTAGTCACCACATCCTTTACAAAAAACGGTCAAAAAAGGAGAAAGGAAATGAGATTTAACCGGTGCTGATGCCTTCTCTCAGAACAAAAAAAAATAAAAAATAAAAATTTAAATAAAATAAATAAATAAATATATATATATAAAATATAAAAAATACAGTTTTTAACCACTTGCTGCCCAGCCACTGTACATATACGGTGGCAGGGCGGCACTCGCAGGCAAAACCACATTTTAAAACGTGTGTTTTGTAAACAAATAGGAGGCGCGCCGCCGCCCTATCTGTCCCGCCGATCACCGCCGCAGATGTGAGTCGCCGGGTTCACAGCCGGTCCTTAGCGGCTGTTTCCCGGCGATCGGCGGCAAACAGTGACAGAGAGCACAGCTGCAGTAGCTGTGCTGTCTGTCACTTCCCTGTCAGCTTGAGGATGAGCTGATCGAGAAAGAACAGTTTCTCTTTCTCGATCAGCCTTGCCCCGCCCAGCACACACCCCCGCCCCCTAGTAAAACACTCCCCTCACTCCTATAACCCTTCCCTGCAAAATAAAGTTAACCCCTTCCTCCCCAGTGCCATTAGTACAGTGTCAGTGTTTTTTTTTTTTTTTTGCACTGATCACTGTATTAGTGTTTTTGGGGATGTCAGTGACCCCAAGTCAGTACCCCCCAATGTCAGAATGTCCGCCGCAGTCCCGCCATAAGTCGCTGATCGCTGCCATATGTCCCTGATCACCGCCATAAGTCACTGATCACCGCCATAAGTCACTGATCGCCGCCATAAGTCACTGATCGCCGCCATAATTCGCTGACCGCCGCCATTATTAGTATAAAAAAAAAAAATCAAAAAATCCCAGTATCTTTCCCGCCATTTGTAAACGCTATAACTTTCACGTAAACCAATTAATTTACACGTATTGGGGTTTTTTTTTTTTTAGCGAAGACATGTCGCAGAATACATTTTGGCAGAAATTTATGACTAAATTTGATTTTTGCATTTTTTTTTACTGGACATGTTTTATAGCAAAAAGTCCAAAATATTTTTTTTTCCTCAAAATTGTCAGCCTTTTTTTTTTATAGCGCAAAAAATAAAAACCGCACAGGCGATCAAATACCACCGAAAGAAAGCTCAATTTGTGGGGAAAAAAAAAAGGATGTAAATTTCATTTATGTACCGTATTGCATGACCGCGCAATTGTCCGTTAAACTAGCACAGCGCTGTATAGCAGAAAAAAGGCGTAAATTGCAGTATCTATACCATAGTTTGTAGACGCTATAACTTCACACAAAGCAATCAATATACACTTATTGGGATTTTTTTTACCAAAAACATGGAGCAGAATACATTTTGGCCTAAATTTATAACCAACTTTGAGTTTACTATATATTTTTTATAGCTGAAAGTAAAAAATATTGTTTTTCTTCAAAATTTTTGCCATTTTTTTTGTTTATAGCGTGAAAAATAAAAAAGCGCACAGGTGATCAAATACCACTGAAAAAATCTCTATTTGTGTGAAAAAAAGGACGTAAATTTTGTTTGGGTGCAGCACTGCATGACCGCGCAATTGTCAGTTGAATTAGTGCAGCGCCGAGTAGCAAAAAGAGGCGTGGTCATTAAGGGGGGTAAATCCTCTGGAGCTCAAGTGGTTAAATTATTTATATGAATTTTTTTTTTTTTTTTTTTTGCAACAACCATAATTTTATTCTCCAGGGCCTCTGCTATCATAAAATATATGTTTTTGGGGTTCTGAGTCATTTTCTATAAAAATTTTTCAAAAATACTGATTTTAGGATGTCTGTGAAAAATTACAAAAATTGCCGCAGACAGCAAGTGGCCAAGGTATGTAGTGCTCAATTTTCTGCACCGGACGTCCCTCGCTGAACACCACTTGCAATGGGTTCTTGGAGGTAAAAAGACAAAATAAAGTTCTAGATGACTCTCTTGGCAGACCCTTAGATGAAGGGTCCAGAGCGGATTCACGTCTAATGAACAGAGTCTCCTATAGGTCCCCCTATTGTGTCTGCTTTGGGACATCCAGTGCACTGCCTGAGACTGCCAGAATCAGCACGGTACGAAAGTCTCATCTCTGATACAAAATACACAGCAGGGAGCGCCAGACCAAATGGCAAAAGAAGTCCAAATTGTTTAAATTCACCAGCAAAGTAATGATCTATGAGGTTATCCATCCAAGTCTTGTTCTCTGAGCCCTGATGAAGGGTGAGTGGGTCCCCGAAACGCGTTGCCATTTTCATACGATCTTATGAGGAACAATTAAAGCGATTTGGACTCCTTCACATTTGGTCTGGAGCTCTTTTTGCTTTGAACTTTGAATTCCCATCAGAGAAGAACCTTCCACAGCAAGTCATCTCCTTCAACAAATTTGTTTTTTTCACCCTCCTGAAGGAATACGTGTTGGGAGTCTCACCTGTGGTGGCTGATAGGATGACAACCTCATCATAGCGAGGACGTCCTCCAGGTAATGCTGCTTCACAGGATACATAAATCCCGGCACCCGGACAATCGGACAGTCCCCGAAGTACTTTGAGATGCGCTCGTTATCTCCGGTGGCGCTCATGAGAATCACTTTGACGTTGGGGTTCAGTGCCTGCATCTGCTTCACCAGGATAAGCAGGAAGTCCGTGCTGACGTCCCTCTCATGGACCTCGTCCACTATCACGTGGCTGACCCCCTCCATGGTGGCATTTGTCTGCAGCTTTTTTAACAGCACTCCAACTGTGCAGAAGAGCAACGCACCCCCGCGGGGGGGAAGCATGCTCTCCAGGCGGACCTGGTAACCCACATTACGACGTAGGTCTGGTCCCAATTCCTGGCCCACGCGGTGAGCCACCGATACAGCACTGATCCTGCGGGGCTGAGTGACTATTATATTGCAATGAGCTCCTGACCCGCTGAGAATGGCGTCCTCTAGGACGAAGCGTGGGATAACGCGTTGTCTTCCCACATCCTGTGTCCCCAGCTATTACCACTACAGGATTGCTCTCAATGGCCTTCAAAATGGCTTCTTTATGGTCATCGGCGGGTAACTTCTGTATCGGTTTTCCCTGGCTGCTGCGCCATTTGGCATCCAGCGATCGGCTGATCCGATCCAATGAGTTTTCAGATAATGGGGTGTATGGCTGGCCGGTAATGGGGTCACTGATTGTGCCACAGTCTGACCAATCGTCTGTTGACTCCATCTGTGAGGAGGAATATCCCTCAATGTCAGATTCCATGTCTGATTCCAACTCCAACTAAGGGAAACTGCAAATGAGAGACGAGACATCACTAAAACACTTTAAAAGGTTCAACTTCACATGTATCTGTTATATTAACTGTAGGTCACAGAGAGCGCAGTCAGAAGATGTACAGTGCCTTTCAGTAGTTGGTGTCTCTGCCCCTCCCACAATGGGGAGATTTCCCCCAGTAGTTGGTGTCTCTGCCCCTCCCACAATGGGGAGATTTCCCCCAATAGTTTATGTCTCTGCCCCTCACACAATGATGAGATTTCCCCCCTGTAGTTTGTGTCTCTGCCCCTCCCACAATGGTGAGATTCCCCCCAGTAGTTTATGTATCTGCCCCTCCCACAATGGTGAGATCCCCCACCCCCCCCCCCGTAGTTTGTGTCTCTGCCCCCCCCCACAATGGGGAGAATTTCCCCCAGTAGTTTGTGTCTCTGCCCCTCCCACAATGGGGAGGATTTCCCCCAGTAGTTTGTGTCTCTGCCCCTCCCACAATGGGGAGGATTTCCCCCAGTAAGTTTGTGTCTCTGCCCCCTCCCACAATGGGGAGGATTTCCCCCAGTAGTTTGTGTCTCTGCCCCTCCCACAATGGGGAGGATTTCCCCCAATAGTTTGTGTCTCTGCCCCTCCCACAATGGGGAGGATTTCCCCCAGTAGTTTGTGTCTCTGCCCCTCCCACAATGGGGAGGATTTCCCCCAGTAGTTTAGGTCTCTGCCCCTCCCACAATGGTGAGAACCCCCCCCCCCCGTAGTTTGTGTCTCTGCCCACCCCACAAAGGTGAGATTCCCCCCAGTGGTTTGTGTTTCTGCCCCCTACAAAGCCATCTGTCCTGTGACACTGGATACACATTCACTCTGTGTGAATGGAGGCACAATCCAAAGTTACTGGGCTCATTTCTCTCCAGGTCAAATGTTATTCACTAATACGGAATTGAATGAATCAGGAATCCACTACAATGGGGCCACTAAGTGGAGCTGAGGATCAATGGAAATTAAAGTGGTTGGATATTATTTTGCCCTAACGAATTCCCTGCATCAAAAAAGTCTCTCCCTCACCCCCTCTCTCATACTTACCTGATCCCATCCTCGATCCAGCACTGTGCCTGTCTTCAGCGGCTCTCTCCACTCTGTCCACAGAGGCAGCAGCAGGAAACATTGGCTCCTGCCGCTGTCAATCAAATTCTGTGAGCAGTTGTATGTGTCTATAGAAACAGCTTCCTATTGGGGGAGGCACTAAGGAGCAGAGAGCGCCGTCAGGGGACCCGAGAAGAGGAGCTTTGGGGCCACTGTGTGCAAAACCTTCACACATGCAGGTACAGTCAGTTCCATAAATATTGGGACATCGACACAATTCTAACACTTTTGGCTCTATACACCACAATGGATTTGAAATGAAACGAACAAGATGTGCTTTAACTGCAGACTGTCAGCTTTAATTTGAGGGTATTTACATCCAAATCAGGTGAACGGTGTAGGAATTACAACAGTTTCCATATGTGCCTCCCACTTGTTAAGGGACCAAAAAGTAATGGGACAGAATATTCATAAATCAAACTTTCACTTTTTAATACTTGGTTGCAAATCCTTTGCAGTCAATGACAGCCTGAAGTGTGGAACGCATAGACATCACCAGACGCTGGGTGTCATCCCTGGTGATGCTCTGCCAGGCCTCTACTGCAACTGTCTTCAGTTCCTGCTTGTTCTTGGGCATTTTCCCTTCAGTTTTGTCTTCAGCAAGTGAAATGCTCAATCGGATTCAGGTCAGGTGATGGACTTGGCCATTGCAGAACATTCCACTTCTTTCCCTTAAACTCTTTGGTTGCTTTTGCAGTCTGCTTTGGGTCATTGTCCATCTGCACTGTGAAGCGTCCAATGAGTTGTGAAGCATTTGGATGAATATGAGCCGATAATATTCCCGAAACACTTCACAATTCATCCGGCTGCTTCTGTCAGCAGTCACATCATCAATAAATACAAGAGAAGCAGTTCCATTGGCAGCCATACATGCCCACGCCATGACACTACCACCACCATGATCACTGATGAGGTGGTATGCTTAGGATCATGAGCAGTTCCTTCTCCATACTCTTCTCTTCCCATCACTCTGGTACAAGTTGATGTCGGTCTCATCTGTCCATAGGATGTTGTTCCAGAACTGTGAAGGCTTTTTTACATGTCGTTTGGCAAACTCTAATCTGGCCTTCCTGTTTTTGAGGCTCACCAATGGTTTCCATCTTGTGGTGAACCCTCTGTATTCACTCTGGTGAAGTCTTCTCTTGATTGGTGACTTTGACACACATACACCTACCTCCTGGAGAGTGTTCTTGATCTGGCCAACTGTTGTGAAGGGTGTTTTCTTCACCAGGGAAAGAATTCTTCGCTCATCCACCACAGTTGTTTTCCGTGGTCTTCCAGGTCTTTTGGTGTTGCTGAGCTCACCGGTGCGTTCCTTCTTTTTAAGAATGTTCCAAACAGTTTTGGCCACACCTAATGTTTTTGCTATCTCTCTGATGGGGTTTGTTTTGTTTTTTCACCCTAATGAAGGCTTCACTGATAGTGACAGCTCTTTGGATCTCATCTTGAGAGTTGACAGCAACAGATTCCAAATGCAAATAGCACACTTGAAATGAACTCTGGACCTTTTATCTGCTCATTGTAATTGGGGATAATGAGGGAATAACACACACCTGGCCATGGAACAGCTGAGAAGCCAATTGTCCCATTACTTTTGGTCCCTTAACAAGTGGTAGACACATATGCAAACTGTTGTCATTCCTACACCGTTCACCTGATTTGGATGTAAATACCCTCAAATAAAAGCTGACAGTCTGCAGTTTAAAGCACATCTTGTTCGTTTCATTTCAAATCCATTGTGGTTGGTGTATAGAGGGGGGGGGAAGCGTCCGGACTGGAAGGGGGGGGGGGGGGAAAAAGCGTCCGGACTGGAAGGGGGGGGGGGAAAGCGTCCGGACGGAATGGGGGGTGGGGGGAAAGCGTCCGGACTGGAAGGGGGGGGGGGAAAGCGTCCGACTGGAAGGGGGGGGGGGGGGGGGGGGAAAGCGTCCGGACTGGAAGGGGGGGGGAAAGCGTCCGGACTGGAAGGGGGGGGGGGAAAGCGTCCGGACTGGAAGGGGGGGGGAAAGCGTCCGGACTGGAAGGGGGGGGGAAAGCGGGAAAGGGGGGGGGGGAAAGCGTCCGGACTGGAAGGGGGGGGGGGAAAGCGTCCGGACTGGAAGGGGGGGGGGGGGAAAGCGTCCGGACTGGAAGGGGGGGGGGGAAAGCGTCCGGACTGGAAGGGGGGGGGGGGGAAAGCGTCCGGACTGGAAGGGGGGGGGGGAAAGCGTCCGGACTGGAAGGGGGGGGGGGGAAAGCTCCGGACTGGAAGGGGGGGGGGGGGGGAAGCGTCCGGACTGGAAGGGGGGGGGGGAAAGCGTCCGGGACTGGAAGGGGGGGGGGGAAAAGCGTCCGGACTGGAGGGGGGGGGGAAAGCGTCCGGACTGGAGGGGGGGGGGGGGGAAAGCGTCCGGAACTGGAAGGGGGGGGGGGAAGCGTCCGGACGGAAGGGGGGGGGGGGGGAAAGCGTCCGGACTGGAAGGGGGGGGGGGAAGCGACCGGACTGGAAGGGGGGGGGGAAAGCGTCCGGACTGGAAGGGGGGGGGGGGAAAGCGTCCGGACTGGAAGGGTGGGGGGGGGGGGGAAAAGCGTCCGGGACTGGAAGGGGGGGGGGGGGGGAAAGCGTCCGGACTGGAAGGGGGGGGAAAGCGTCCGGGACTGGAAGGGGGGGGGGGGGAAAGCGTCCGGACTGGAAGGGGGGGGGGGGGGAAGCGTCCGGACTGGAAGGGGGGGGGGAAAGCGTCCGGACTGGAAGGGGGGGGAAAGCGTCCGGGGGGGGGGGGAAAGCGTCCGGACTGGAAGGGGGGGGGAAAGCGTTCCGGACTGGAAGGGGGGGGGAAAGCGTACCGGACTGGAAGGGGGGGGGGGGGGGAAAGCGTCCGGACTGGAAGGGGGGGGGGGAAAGCGTCCGGACTGGAAGGGGGAAAGGGGTGGGGGGGGGAAGCGTCCGGACTGGAAGGGGGGGGGTGAAAGCGTCCGGACTGGAAAGGGGGGGGGGGATAAAGCGTCCGGACTGGAAGGGGGGGGGGGGGGGGAAAGCGTCCGGACTGGAAGGGGGGGGCGTCCGGACTGGAAGGGGGGGGGAAAAGCGTCCGGACTGGAAGGGGGGGGAAAGCGTCCGGACTGGAAGGGGGGGGAAAGCGTCCGGACTGGAAGGGGGGGGGAAAGCGTCCGGACTGGAAGGGGGGGGGGTGAAAGCGTCCGGGAAGGGGGGGAAAGCGTCCGGACTGGAAGGGGGGGGAAAGCGTCCGGACTGGAAGGGTGGGGGGGAAAAGCGTCCGGACTGGAAGGGGGGGGAAAGCGTCCGGACTGGAGATGGGGGGGGGGAAAGCGTCCGGACTGGAAGGGGGGGGGGGGGGGGGGAAAGCGTCCGGACTGGAAGGGGGGGGGGAAAGCGTCCGGACTGGAAGGGGGGGGGGGGAAAGCGTCCGGACTGGAAGGGGGGGGGGAAAGCGTCGGGACTCCGAAGGGGGGGGGGGGAAAGCGTCCGGACTGGAAGGGGGGGGGAAAGCGTCCGGACTGGAAGAGGGGGGGGGGGGGGGAAGGGGGGAAAGCGTCCGGACTGGAAGGGGGGGAAAGCGTCCGGACTGGAAGGGGGGGGAAAGCGTCCGGACTGGAAGGGGGGGGGGGGGGAAAGCGTCCGGACTGGAGGGGGGGGGGGGGGGAAAGCGTCCGGACTGGAAGGGGGGGGTAAAAAGCGTCCGGACTGGAAGGGGGGGGGGAAGTCGTCCGGACTGGAGGGGGGGGGGGAAAGCGTCCGGACTGGAAGGGGGGGGAAAGCGTCCCGGACTGGAAGGGGGGGGAAAGCGTCCGGACTGGAAGGGGGGGGGGGCGGACTGAAGGGGGGGAAAGCGTCCGGACTGGAAGGGGGGGGAAAGCGTCCGGACTGGAAGGTGGGGGGGGAAAGCGTCCGGACTGGAAGGGGGGGGGGAAAGCGTCCGGACTGGAAGGGGGGGGGGGAAAGCGTCCGGACTCATTCCACTGAAGGGGGGGGGAAAGCGTCCGGACTGGAAGGGGGGGGGGAAAGCGTCCGGACTGGAAGGGGGGGGGAAAGCGTCCTCGGACTGGAAGGGGGAAAGCGTCCGGACTGGAAGAAGGGGGGGGGGAAAGCGTCCGGAAGGGGGGGAAGGGGGGGGGGGGGAAAGCGTCCGGACTGGACAGGAGGGGGGGGGGGAAAGCGTCCGGACTGGGAGGGGGGGGGGAAAGCGTCCGGACTGGAAGGGGGGGGGGGAAAGCGTCCGGACTGGAAGGGGGGGGAAAAGCGTCCGGACTGGAAGGCGGGGGGGGAAAGCGTCCGGACTGGAAAGGGTTTGGGGGGAAAGCGGACCGGACTGGAAGGGGGGGAAAGCGTCCGGACTGGAAGGGGGGGGAAAGCGTCCGGACTGGAAGGGGGGGGGGGAACAGCGTCCGGACTGGAAAGTCCTCCCGTCCGGATAAGGGGGAAGGGGGGGGGAAAGCGGACTGAAGGGGGGGGGAAAGCGTCCCCGGACTGGAACAATGGGGAAAGCGTCCCGACTGGAAGGGGGGGGGGGAAAGTCGTCCCCCCGGACTGGAAGGGGGGGGGGAAAGCGTCCGGAATGGAAGGGGGGGGGAAAGCGTCCCGACTGGAAGGGGGGGGGGAAAGCGTCCGGACTGGAAGGGGGGGGGGAAAGCGTCCGGACTGGAAGGGGGGGGGGAAAGCGTCCGGACTGGAAGGGGGGGGGGGCGTCCGGGGAAGGCGGGGGGGGGAACGTGGGTCCGGAGCCTGGAAGGGGGGGGGGGGAAAGCGTCCGGACTGGAAGGGGGGGGGAAAGCGTCGGACTGGAAGGGGGGGGGAAAGCGTCCGGACTGGAGGGGGGGGGGGAAAGCGTCCGGACTGGAAGGGGGGGGGAAAAGCGTCCGGACTGGAGGGGGGGGGGAAAGCGTCCGGACTGGAAGAGGGGGGGGGGAAAGCGTTCCGGACTGGAAGGGGGGGGGGAAAGCGTCCGGACTGGAAGGGGGGGGGGAAAGCGTCCGGGACTGGAATGGTGGGGGGGGGAAAGCGTCCGGACTGGAAGGGGGGGGGGGAAAGCGTCCGGACTGGAAGTGACGGGGGGGGGAAAGCGTCCGGACTGGAAGGGGGGGGGGGGAAAGCGTCCGGACTGGAACGGGGGGGGGGGAAAGCGTCCGGACTGGAAGGGGGGGGGGGAAAGCGTTCCGGACTGGAAAGGGGGGGGGAAAGCGTCCGGACTGGAAGGGGGGGGGGAAAGCGTCCGGACTGAAGGGGGGGGGGGGGGGAAAGCGTCCGGACTGGAAGGGGGGGGGGAAAGCGTACGGACTGGAAGGGGGGGGGGGAAAGCGTCCGGACTGGAAGGGGGGGGGAAAGCGTCCGGACTGGAAGGGGGGGGGGAAAGCGTCCGGACTGGAAGGGGGGGGGGGGGGAAAGCGTCCGGACTGGAATGGGGGGGGGGAAAGCGTCCGGACTGGAAGGGGGGGGGGGGAAATGACTAGGAAGGGGGGGGGAAAGCGTCCGGACTGGAAGGGGGGGGGGGAAAGCGTCCCGGACTGGAAGGGGGGGGGGAAAGCGTCCGGACTGGCAGGGGGGGGGGGAAAGCGTCCGGACTGGGAAGGGGGGGGGGTAAAGCAGTCCGGGAACTGGAAGGGGTGGGGAAAGCGTCCGGACTGGAAGGGGGGGGAAAGCGTGCCGGACTGGAAGGGGGGGGGGGGAAGCGTCCGGACTGGAAGGGGGGGGGAAGCGTCCGGACTGGAAGGGGGGGGGAAGCGTCCGGACTGGAAGGGGGGGGGGGAAGCGTCCGGACTGGAAGGGTGGGGGGGAAGCGTCCGGACCTGGCAAGGGGGGGGGGAAAGCGTCCGGGAAGGGGGGGGGAGGGGGGAAGCGTCCGGACTGGAAGTGGTTTAACATCAACCCTAATACTTATTTACCAAGGTGATTATCACCATCTAGTGGCCAGAATGAGGTATTTTCCTGAACAGCGATTATTATTTTAAAATAAGTCAACCTGTAAAGTAAATAGCCTAATAACATTCCAATTTTGCTCTCATTCACAGAGAACGAACGTGCCGCAGTATCACAAGACATAAACAGCTCTGCAAATTTCATTAATACCCCCCCTTGGTGTGCAGCTCGCCCTCCGCACCTCCTCCCACTATGAGAAGGAAGCACCATTTATAGGGAGGACTCACCTCCTGAAAGTAATTCTCCATTCTAATCAGCAAGTCTTCTGGAACTTTAAACCGCTTCGGCTGCCGCTGCTGCTCCCGCAGCTTCTGCACAGCAGATTGGTGATACATGGCATGCGTCAACGGCCTGTTATTCGGGTCTAGGAGGTCGAGATCCTGTGGGGGGGGAATGAAGAACAACGGTCAGAAAACACTCCAATTAAGAGAACTATTAACTACTGCCGACCGCAGATAGCCGAATGACGGCTTCACCGCGGCCGGCCAGTTCTGGGTGGACGTCATATGACGTCCCCCCAGAACGCGCTCGCGCGCACCCGGCGATCTCCGTGATCGCTGTGTCCTACGGACACAGCTGATCACGTGATGTGGTAAAAGGCCAATCACAGCGGCCTTTTACCACATGATCAGCGGTGTCCAATGACACGCTGATCAGAGGGAAATGCAAGTGCCGGTTCTCGGCTGCACTTTCCTCACGCTGTCAGATCGTGAGGAAAGTACTGCTGAGAGCCGGCAGTTGTCAGAGCGGGGATCGGCACCGATCATCAGGGCACTGATGATCAGTGCCCTGATGATCGGTGCCCAGCAGTGACACCCGCAAGTTCCGCCCAGCAGTGCGCCCACTAGCTCCGCCCACCCGTGCCCAGCAGTGCACCCACCTGTGCCCAGCAGTGCATCCACCTGTGCCACTCTGCAGTGCCACCTACCTGTGCCCAGAAGTACCACCTACATGTGCCCAGCAGTGCCACCCACCTGTGCCCACCCACCTGTGCCCACCAGTGCCACCCACCTGTGCCCACCCACCAGTGCTGCCCACCAGTGCAGCCCACCAGTGCTGCCAGTCAGTGCCCAGGGGTTGTGCCAGTCAGTGCCGCCAGTCAGTGCCCAGCAGTGATGCCAGTTAGTGCCGTCTATCAGTACCCATAATCAGTGTCACCTATCAGTGCTGCATATCAGTGCCGCCTATCCGTGACCCCTAATTAGTGCTGTCTATCAGTGCCGCCTATCCGTGCCACCTGATTAGTACTGCCTATCAGTGCCCTTTAGTGCTGCCTATCAGTGCCGCCTATCAGTGCCCATCAGTGCTGCCTCATCAACGCAGATCAGTGAAGGAGAAAAAATACCTGTTTGAAAACTTTTATAAAAGAAACAAATAAACTTTTTTTTTTTTTCAAATTTTTTGCACTTTTTTTATTTATAGCGCAAAAAGTAAAGCGCCCAGTGGCGATTAAATACCACCAAAAGAAAGCTCTATTTGTGAGAATAAAAAAAATGATCAAAATTTCATATGGGTACAATGTTGCATGACCGCGCAATTGTCAATCAAAGTGCGGCAGCGCTGAAAGCTGAAAATTGGCCTGGTAAGGAAGGGGGTATAAGTGCCTGGTAGGCAAGTGGTTAAAAAAAAAATATAAATAAATAGTTGGTGTCTCTGCCCCTCCCACAATACTGAGATTTCCCCCAATAGTTTGTGTCTCTGCCCCTCCCACAATGATGAGATTTCCCCCAGTAGTTTGTGTCTCTGCCCCTCCCACAATGATGGGATTTTCCCCCAGTAGTTTGTGTCTCTGCCCCTCCCACAATGATGAGATTTCCCCCAGTAGTTTGTGTCTCTGCCCCTCCCATAATGATATTTCCCCCCCAGTAGTTGGTGTCTCTGCCCCTCCCACAATGGGGAGATATCCCCCAGTAGTTTGTGTCTCTGCCCCTCCCACAATGGGGAGATATCCCCCAGTAGTTTGTGTCTCTGCCCCTCCCACAATGGGGAGATATCCCCCAGTAGTTTGTGTCTCTGCCCCTCCCATAATGGGGAGATATCCCCCCAGTTGTTTGTGTCTCTGCCCTCCCACAATGGGGAGATTTCCCCCAGTAGTTTGTGTCTCTGCCCCTCCCATAATGATATTCCCCCCAGTAGTTGGTGTCTCTGCCCCTCCCATAATGGGGAGATATCCCCCAGTAGTTGGTGTCTCTGCCCCTCCCACAATGGGGAGATTTCCCCCAGTTGTTTGTGTCTCTGCCCCTCCCACAATATCCCATGTTCTCAGGCTACAATTCCCTGCAAATCGAATGTTATTTATTGAAAGAAAAAAAAAAAAAAAGTGTAATCGGGATAAAATACTGCATTATGGCCACTAGATGGAGTAGAGAAGCACAGGAAATAAGCATGCTCCTCAGTTCCATCTAGTGGCCATAAAGCGGTACTTTCCCCATTCAACCCTTTTTTTTTTTTTTTTCAATGAATAATATTCGATCTACAAGCCTGAGAACATTTGACTTTGCCTTGTTCTCGCAGAACAAAACTTACAGGCGGTTCCAATAGATGAAAATCCGAAAAAATGAATCCCGTCTCACCTTCAGTTTCTGGCAGCCCAGGGCAGCCGCCTTCCTCTCCGCTTCGGTCCTCCGCAGGCCGCGAGCGACAAAGGTGAATGTCTGTGGCCATCTGATGGTCAGGCGACAGGTCTTGATGCTTCCCCCCTCGTGCTGGTATTGGACGAAGTCCTGGAAGAAGACAAGGAATGCTGAGAAATTCGCTCTTTGAACACTCCTCCAACCTGCGTCCCCCAACGTTGGGCCTCTTGGGAGAGCAGCCACATACCTTGCTACTAGAACAGGAGGTGGCCACCTGGATGACTTTGGACAGGAGGTGCTTGGGATTTGGAAACTCTTTCATGGCCGCCAATTCTTCATCACTGTCCAGAGCCATTTGTCTGCGGAGAGAATCCTTGTCAATATCATCAAATCTAATACGACCCTGATCCGTCCAGGAAACCCAGAGTCTCTACTACGACCCCGATCCGGCCAGGAACCCAGGAGTCTCTACAAGGACCCCGATCCGGCCAGGAACCCAGGAGTCTCTACAAGGACCCCGATCCGTCCAGGAAACCCGGAGTCTCTACTACGACCCCGATCCGGCCAGGAACCCAGGAGTCTCTACAAGGACCCGATCCGGCCAGGAACCCAGGAGTCTCTACAAGGACCCCGATCCGGCCAGGAACCCAGGAGTCTCTACAAGGACCCCGATCCGGCCAGGAACCCAGGAGTCTCTACAAGGACCCCGATCCGGCCAGGAACCCAGGAGTCTCTACAAGGACCCCGATCCGGCCAGGAACCCAGGAGTCTCTACAAGGACCCCGATCCGGCCAGGAACCCAGGAGTCTCTACAAGGACCCCGATCCGGCCAGGAACCCAGGAGTCTCTACAAGGACCCGATCCGGCCAGGAACCCAGGAGTCTCTACAAGGACCCCGATCCGGCCAGGAACCCACAGTCTCTACAAGGACCCCAATCCGGCCAGGAACCCAGAGTCACTACAAGGAACCCGATCCGGCCAGGAACCCAGAGTCACTACAAGGAACCCGATCCGGCCAGGAACCCAGAGTCACTACAAGGAACCCGATCCGGCCAGGAACACGGAGTCTCTACAAGGACCCCGATCCGGCCAGGAACCCCGGAGTCTCTACAAGGACCCCCGACCCAGCCAAGAACACGGAACCACTACAATGACCCCGATCCGGCCAGGAACCCAGGAGTCTCTACAAGGACCCCGATCCGGCCAGGAACCCACAGTCTCTACAAGGACCCTGATCCGGCCAGGAACCCAGAGTCTCTATACAAGTACCCCAATCCGGCCAGGAACCCAGAGTCACTACAAGGAACCCGATCCGGCCAGGAACCCAGAGTCACTACAAGGAACCCGATCCGGCCAGGAACACGGAGTCTCTACAAGGACCCCAATCCGGCCAGGAACACGGAGTCTCTACAAGGACCCCAATCCGGCCAGGAACCCCGGAGTCTCTACAAGGACCCCGACCCAGCCAAGAACACGGAACCACTACAATGACCCTGATCCTGCCAGGAGCAGGAGTCTCTACAAGGACCCCGACCCAGCCAAGAACATGGAACCTCTACAAGGACCCGACCCTGCCAGGAACACAGATTTCCCAACAAGAAGACAAAAAATAGGGATGAGCCATCATTGCGGAAAACCCGAATACCGGACCCTCTAACTGTACTACCTGGGATTAGTCCTGGCCGCACGGCTCTTCTGTGCTCTCAATTTGCTCTTCCCTTTCTTCTCTGCCGGAGAATATGCTTCAAGTGGAGCCTTGAACTCCTTGTGCTGGGACTCTGTTCCCGAATCCATTAAACCAAGATCCTAAAGAGAGGAATCCGGTCACTGAAGAGTCATCCACAGAAATACACCCCAAACACAGCACTACGGTATATGTCAGCGCTATATCTATGTATAATCATAATAATTTTTGTTTATTAAAACTCTTAAAAACTAACAGCGTAATAAAAACATATTTACATAAGTATACTTACATGCACAAGCAGAACTAAATATACAAATCCAAACATATTTAATATTGTTATGATTATTTACCTCCACCTAACCCCCACCCCCAGGCGAACAATTAACCCCTTCCATACCGGGCACTTTTACCCCCCTTCCTGCCCAGGCCATTTTTCAGGTTTCAGCGCTCTCACACTTTGGATGACAATTGTGCGGTCATACAACATTGTACCCAAACTAAAATTTTATCATTTTCTTCACAAAACTAGAGCTTTCTTTTGGTGGTATTTAATCACCGCTGGGGTTTTATTTTTTGCTAAATTAACAAAAAAAGACTGAAAATTTTGAAAAAAAAAAAAAAAAAAAAAAAAACACGTTTTTCTTTGTTTATAAAAGTTTGCAAATAAATAATTGTTCTTCATAAATTTAGACCGAGATGTATTCTGCTACATGTCTTTGGGGAAAATAACCCAAATTAGGATGTATTATTTAGTTTGTAGGAAAGTTATAGAGTTCACAAACTATGGTATAGATCTGAATATTGATCAATCCTGAAGTACTGACAGCCAATCTAATTTCTTGAGGTCCAAGAATGTCAGAACAGTACAGATATCCCCCAAACGTCAGGACGGTACAGATATCCCCCCAAACGTCAGGACGGTACAGATATCCCCCCAAACGTCAGGACGGGACAGATACCCCCCAAACGTCAGGACGGGACAGATACCCCCCAAACGTCAGGACGGGACAGATACCCCCCAAACGTCAGGACGGGACAGATACCCCCCAAACGTCAGGACGGGACAGATACCCCCCAAACGTCAGGACGGGACAGATATCCTCCAAATGTCAGAACAGTACAGATATCCCCCAAATGTCAGAACGGTACAGATATCCCCCAAATGTCAGAACAGTACAGATATCCCCCAAATGTCAAAACGGTACAGATATCCCCCAAATGTCAGAACGGTACAGATACCCCCCAAACGTCAGGACGGTACAGATATCCCCCAAATGTCAGAACGGTACAGATATCCCCCAAATGTCAGGACGGTACAGATATCCCCCAAATGTCAGAACGGTACAGATATCCCCCAAATGTCAGAACTGTACAGATATCCCCAAAATGACCACTTTTTGCAAAGTAGACAGTCCGACGTATTTCATAACAGGCATGTCAAGTTTTTTGAAGTTGTAATTTATTTGTCAATTTTTCGGAAAATGAAAAAAATTAAAAAAAGTTTCATTTTTTTTTTCCTTTTTACATACTGTCACCAATGCAGTACAGCGTCATCATATAACTGGCATGGCGGTGATCAGGGACACTGGCGATTTATAATTAATTTTTTTTTTTTTTTATTAGTTTTATTTTTTTATTACTTTTTTTTAAGATTTTTTTTTTCATATTTCACTATGACCAAGGTAGTATAATGTTACCATAGTAACATTGTACTACTTTTGGGAAGTGATCAGTATTTTTTTTTTTTTCCAATGAATGTGCACATCAACCAGACCTGCTCTCTAGCCCTCACAGTCCCGCCTGGCTCCGGGACCTTTCCTGTCCTTAGTCCTAGTGAAGGTGTTAAAGTCACAACCGAAGACAACTTGCTGGGCTGTAAAAAGAAAAGGCTTGATCTTCATGAAGAGGCATTTCCTGTCCCATTTTGTCTGGGGCCCATAGATGTTAATCAGGCGCAGGTCCCCCCCCCCCCCCCCCCCCCCCCCCATGGAGACATCCAAGACCATGCATCTCCCCATTTCTACCTCAATAATCCGCCGGATACCATGCCGGAAAAAAGCACCACAACTCCAATGTAAGGTTCGGCCGCAAGAGACCAGAAGGAGGGGCCGCAACTCAACTCCTCCTCCACCAGATGAATATCCACCAAACTGGACAACCTGGTCTCTTGCAAAAAGAAAATGTCGGCATCAAACCTGCTGAGCAAAAATAAGGCCATGTTACGAGCACTTTCTGACTTTATGCTGGCGACATTAATGGTCGCCACCTTCAAAGGAGTGGGAACCGCCATCAGGATGATCGAGATACACGTTTCTTAGCCTGCTTACCACCCTCCCTACTTGAAGACCCTACACGCTTCAGTGTCTTCTGCGATTCCTCCTCCATGGAAACCACAGACTCATCACCCGAAGATCCCTCATCCTCCACCTCAGATAACACATCAAAAGTGTTTGACACCTCCACCCTCCCAGGTTCAGGCACAGGCACATCCTTCTTCCGCTTCTTCTTCCCAGACTTCCTTTTTGCCTCCAACCACTCCATATCATCATTTAACAACCCACACTGCAAAGTCCCCTCCCCTGCCCTTCCACCATCACCAACAACATCATCCACTCCACTCACCACAGCGGTCCCCCCAACCTTCACCCCAGCACCCCCCACCGCCTCACGCCCTCCGATCCTCAGATGCCAGGGAGCAGGGGTCGATGCAACCATACACACTGGTCCAGCAACCTCCACAGCCCCCACTACCTCTGGGGAAACGGACATAGGAGGATCAGACACAACATCCACTGACATTGACTCAGGGGACACAACACAAGATGACACAACATTGGATGGATCATCACACTGATACCACTGAGACAACAGGGAGAGACACATTGGGGACTCCTGGCACAGCCCCCCTCTCCTCTGAACATGGAGCCAAAAGCTGACTGGTTATGCATGGCCTCAGGGCACTGGCTGTACGAATGGTCAACCTTATCACAAAGATTGCACCTGATGACATTGCAATCCTTAGCCAGGTGCCCCAGATCCTGACATAGAGAGCACTATCTCTGGACATGAGGAGGCGAAGTGACCCCGAGAACTGCACTTATTACAGAGCTTGGGCTGTCCAGGGTAGAAACACCACAATCCTATCCTTCCCAATGAAGGCTGAGGAGGGCAGATGCTGGACCACATTCCCACACACATACAGCCTCATCTACACCGACCACATCCCTCTCTCATCCACAATCTTCTTCAGAGGGATCAGTAGCTCCCCAAATCCTCTCAGCTAGATAGCCAAGTCAGCAGAAGGGATCGATTCATTCCTTACTAGGATGGTGGCATTCTTAACCAGAGGTTGGCATGAGACAAGTTTTGGGACAAGTCCCTTCCACTCTGGCAGACCCATTGCCAAAATCATGTCCACAACCAACCTCCTGACAGCGGGAGCACCCCCACCTTCCCACCTGAGCTGCACCACATTCCGCCACCTGAAAGACAGGTGTGCAGATGGCAGACCTCCCCCGAGCTGACAGCCTGATGTGACCCCCTCCTTTCAGCCAGAGCCCCAGAGCTTTGTCATGAAGAACTTTCCTTTTTTTTTTTTTTTTTTTTTTATAGTCAGCTTTCAGGCTCATTAGCTTTTCCTCCTCCTTCGCAGTTCTCACCAAATGGTCAGCAACCCGCTCTCTGAAGGCAGGGAGGGATTTCTCCTTTTAAGGGCCACAGCCAAGGTCTTCAGGTGTAGGTGAAGCTTGGGAGCACAAGCTGGGTCCCTCAGGGGGAACATGGCCTGGGCCATTCCCAAAATCATTCATCTTTGCTGGGGCCAGGCAAGCAGGCCTGGCCCCCCTAGTGTCTGGGGAGAGAGCTACAGCACAAGCAACCTCTCTGGTGCAGAGACTGATGGGACTGGCTCAGCATTCTCTGTACAGCACTGCTGTATATGTCAGAGCTATATACATGTAGAATATTAATAGTGTGTAACTCTGGGGGGACATTAGAGCGTAAGCTCCTCTGATACAGATTTTATTTTTTTTTTTTTAGCCCCGTTCACATAGAACAAATGTAGGTTTACTTTCACTGGGTGAATCAGTCACTCCCTTGCACCATTAAACTGGGCAATCATACCGGAGGCCAGTAAACTGGAGCGTGTTGATGAACACAATGTGTTAGAACATACAGACATCTGTTTAGACCGGAGTTCATCTTCAACAGCACAGATGATAGGAAGGGGAAGATCCGCCATACCTGAAATATTTTACACGCTTGCGCTGCTGCATGACACTCGGCATCGTATTTCTGCTCACCACACCCTTCCACTTCAAAGGGTTTCGGCCACTTGATTCGCAGGGTGACTCTCTAGGATGCAGAGGAAACAACATACACAGAAAAAACAGATGGTGAGAACATTATTAACATTATTACATTTGATTTTACCCCATTTGCAAAGAACGAATTTACATGCCGTTTCGATGGCCAAAACAGCTAGGTATAATAATGGCCATACAGCATGAGACATCAATGATGTCACATGGGGCGGGGGTCACTCAGGGATGTTCCCAGTTGGGGTACTTTTTTTTATTTTTAGCAGAGTTGGGGAAGGTTAGAACCTCTGTCAGCTTTGTATTGCTAAATTCAAAGAAATCTCAGAGAGATTCCACAAACATTTGTACCCCCCATGCTTCCTGGGCTCCACACACCCACCAATGGACCTGGGGCTGGCAGTTGTTAGTGGGGTCAAATTAATGTTAGTTTTCGACCACAGCGATGGGAAAATTCGAAGGCGCAAAATATAAAACTCTCCTCAATCGAACGAATATTCGGACAGTGCATGTGGGTTTTCGTTCAGAAATTACATTCATTTTAAAATTGAATATTAACCACTTGCCTACCGGGCACTTATACCCCCTTATTTACCAGGCCAATTTTCAGCTTTCAGCCCTGCCGCATTTTGATTGACAATTGCGCGGTCATGCAACATTGTACCCATATGAAATTTTGATCATTTTTTTCGCACAAATAGAGCTTTCTTTTGGTGGTATTTAATCGCCACTGGGCGCTTTACTTTTTGCGCTATAAATAAAAAATTGCCAAAAATAAAAAAAAAAAAAAAAAAAAGTTTCTTTGTTTCTATTATAAAATTTTTCAAACAGGTAATTTTTCTCCTTCGCTGATGTGCGTTGATGAGGCAGCACTGATGGGCACTGATAGGCGGCACTGATGGGCACTGATAGGCAGCACTAAAGGGCACTGATAGGCAGCACTAATGAGGTGGCACGGATAGGCGGCACTAATATGCAGCACTGATAGGTGACACTGATGATGGGTACTGATAGACGGCACTGACTGGCATCACTGCTGGGCACTGACTGGCGGCACTGACTGGCACAACCGCTGGGGCACTGACTGGTGCCACTGACTGGCAGCACTGCTGGGCTGCACTGGTGGGTGGCACTGGTGGGTGGCACTTCTGGGCACAGGTGTGTGAAATTGCAGAGTGGCACTGGTGGGCACAGGTGGGTGCACTGCTGGGCACAGGTGGGTGATCTGCTGGGCACAGGTGGGCGGTGCTAGTGGGCACACTGCAGGGCACAGGTGGGCGGAACTTGCGGGTGGCACTGCTGGGCACCGATCATCAGGGCACTGATCATCAGTGCCCTGATGATCGGTGCCGATCCCCGCTCTGACAACTGCCGGTTCTCGGCAGTGCTTTCCTCACGATCTGACAGCGTGAGGAAAGTGCAGCCGAGAACCGGCACTTGCATTTCCCTCTGATCAGCGTGTCATTGGACACCGCTGATCAGGTGATAAAAGGCCGCTGTGATTGGCCTTTTACCACATCACGTGATCAGCTGTGTCCGTGATGCAAGTGAAATTTTCTGACGACATTAGCGTCTTCATTAAAAGTACAAAGTATTTTTGTACGAATATTCTCCGAACATCTATACGTTGGGGGGGGGAGACCAGAGAACATCCATTTGGTGATCTCCCCTACCTAATAAGGAGGGTAGGTGAGCAATCAGGGGTCTAACAGACATTTGATTTCTCAAAGAGAACTTGCCACCAAAAAGTATCACAAATGAAGTTTAGTGGTAAAAAAAAAAAAAATTAAAAAAAAAAAATAAAGTTGCACCAAAGCACTTAAAAACCCACCCAAAAAAAAAATAAAAAACTAGGGCCCCCCTGCCTCCCCCATACAAATGCAAACACAACCATAAGGAGCACCTATGTAGGAAATGTTGATTACTCTACAAATGTTACATATCGCCGCGCATGTTGGACCAAGATGAAAGTGGTTGGGAAGGTTCAAAGTTTTGTACCTTCATACATTCTATGCATGAAAGCAAAAAAATCTTCTGTGTGTAGCAGTGCCCCCAGCCCCCTCAATACTTACCTAAGCTCCATCGAAATCCAGCTATGCGCACGACAGCCTCAGCTGTCCGGGGTCTCTGCCTCCTCATTAGCGGAGACAGCAAGCGGGGGCCATTAACTCCCGCTGCTGTCAATCACAGCCAGTCAGCCAATGAGGAGAGAGAGGGGGTGGGGCCAAACCACAGCTCCGTGTGTGTGGACACATGGAGCAGTGGGTGCCCCATAGCAAGCTGCTAGCTGTGGTGGGCACCTGACAGAAAGGAGGAGCCAGGAGAGCCTGCAGGGACACGAGAAGGAGGAGCATGCGGGCTGCTCTGTGCAAAACCAACACACACAGCAGGGAAGTATAGACGTGTTTGCTATTTTACAAAAAAAAAAAAAAACAAAAAAACGAACGTTTAGAATCGCTTCGGTAATTCTAGGCCCATGATTCATGGTTAACTCTAAAACGATGACCTGTAGAGGCTTTTAAAGCATCACCTATGGAACATTTACATTTGTCGCCATTTCACACGTTTTCAATTCTTGGCTTGTTGGGTATCTATTTACTCAGCACAACCTCATTTTTAAATGTTACCGGTAAATCGGATAATAGCTTGAGCTTATGTGCCCTAAAATTAACTGCAGTGTACAGGTGTACCTCAGTTTACAATCCACTGAAAATCCACTGAAAATAACATATAATTTTTTTTTCCGCAATACGAAGTGTATGTTACAATTCTTATATGAAATATACTTCTGAGCCACTGAGGGATACAAATATCTGTGTATATATAAACAATATGTCGCAGGCGTCCTTGCTCACCCTCACGTGGTGTGCGTCAGTAAGATAGCAAAAAATTGTGTTGGGTGCCGCGCTCTATTTATTATTATAAAAAAATTAAAGAATTATTATTTGTACCATTATTATTTAAACTAATGTGTGTTAATCTCTCTTAATTATCACCATGAGTGAACATGTGTGCACCTTGTGCCAATAAAAAGTAAAATAAAAAAAAATATAAAAAAAAAAAATAATATAATAAAAAACAAAATAATTCTAAATAATAAAAATAATTTGAGGATAAATAGTCCCATATGCAGTGTGATCAAGTCAAATTCCTTATAAGTTCAGCAGAAGAATGAATGCAGTATACTCTCCTTTTTGCTGGCATATACTGTGTAGCTGCAATGGTTATCAATAGAAGCTGCTCTGTAAATCACTGTGGTAAACGAGATCTCTCCTTCCCCCACCTCTCCTTCCATGGATCATAAGGGGAATAAGAAGAAGTACAGTGTCTTATCCAGGGTAAATAGCTTTAATGTACGCTAGTAATACACTCACATGAGTTAAAAAAGGAATGCGCTTTTCATATTATAACCGCGGATAGCGGTGAGACCAGCCTTGTTGGTGTGCCTGCGCACAGTCAATACTCGCCCGTGTCTGAATGCAGATGCGTGGTGACGTCACTGCCCCTCCCCTACGCGTTGCGCTACAGGGACTCGTAGCTTCCTCTGGGGGATATAGTGTTCTATGGGGTTGAGTTCTGACCTCAACCCCATAGAACACCTTTGGGATGAATTATTATTATTATTATACAGGATTTATAAAGCGCCGATAGTTCGCTCAGCACTGTACATTACAGAGGGGAACAGAACATGTGACAGAACAATACCAATACAATGCAAAACATGAGGGGATTGAGGGCCCTGCTCTTTCGAGCTTACAATCTAGGAGGGAGGGGATGGTGGCACAGGAGGAGATAGCTGTGGGGGATGGAGTGGTAGGAGGAGTGGAGGAGGTTGGCAGGTTAGCAGGGGGTGGGGTAGGCTTCCCTGAAGAGATGGTTTTCAGGGTGCGCCTAAAGGAGAGGAGAGTAGGTGATAATCTGATGGGTTGGGGCAGGGAGTTCCAGAGGATGGGTGACACCCTGGAGAAGTCCTGGAGGCGGGCATGGGAGGAGGAGACCAGGGAACTAGAGAGAAGGAGGTCTTGTGAGGAGCGGAGTGTGCGTGCTGGGAGGCACTTGGATATTAGGTCAGTGATGTAGTTCGGGGCAGTATGGTGGACGGCTTTGTACGTCAGTGTTAGGATTTTGAATTTGATCCGTTGCGCAATCGGAAGCCAGTGGAGGGATTGGCAGAGGGGGGTGGCGGAAACGGAGCGGTTGGAAAGGTGAATGATGTAAAGAAAACAAAACCTCAGCGCTCAGGACTTCCTATTTACCACACAAATCCCCGTGGGATGCTGCTGTGCACAGGTACAAAAGACCAAAAAAAACTTTTAACAATGAAAACCAGCGCAAACCCACATGGTCAATTACATTACTCAGCTTTTAAGAAAACATTACTGTGCTGATAAAGACATATATAATAAATTATATATAAATAAATTGATATATAAAAAAATATATATAAACATTAGAATCATAAGTCCAGTGACAAAAAAATCAAGTGACAAAAAATCAAAAAAATCCCAAAAAATATATATATATAATTACAGTCCCGTGACAAAAATAAAACAAATTAGATTATAATTTTCATTTGGTTCTTCCGTGTTACGGATCCCTTCACCATGCACCAGTGCAGAAAATCAACATTAGCCGCACTCACCAGATATTGGTGAGTCACACGCCTTTCAGGATTATTAAGGGCTCCTGGACCCCCTTTACTTTTTGTGAGACCTCCAAGTGTTGTTTCCTCTTATGTCTAGGTACCTCTTCTGCTTACTCCTCTCGCCGAATCCCCCAAGGAAAATCAGGAAGAAGAAAAGACCATAGCGTGATACCGTAGTAATTTCTCCTCAAAATAATCTCTCCAGACCACTCACATTCTTTTGCGGGATATAGCCCGCCTTTTATTCAAAACAACAGTGATTTTCTTCCAAAATGATCCACTTTTCATGTACACCAATTTTTGTAAGAGACCCCACAGTTTAGTGTGCAGCAGGATGGCAGACCTCAGCTACAGACTCATCTACTAAGCTAAGATGGCCCCTTGGAACGCACCGCTCGGCGTGCGCTCCACTCACCGGAAATGACGTCAGACGACGGACCAGGCAACCGGAAGTGCGTCAACGCGTTTCGCCCCACCCCATCAAGACGCCCTGTGGGTGGGGCGAAACGCGTTGACGCACTTCGGTTGCCTGGTCCGTCGTCTGACGTCATTTCCGGTGAGTGGAGCGCACGCCGAGCGGTGCGTTCCAAGGGGCCATCTTAGCTTAGTAGATGAGTGCGGCTAATGCTAATGGCGTCATTCTGGACTCAAACCTTTCCTTTCAACCTCATATCAAATCTCTCACAAACTCATGCAGGCTCCACCTCCGGAACATCTCCAAGATACGCTCCTTCCTTACCCCAGACACCACTAAACTACTCGTTCACTCCCTGATTATCTCACGCCTTGACTACTGCAACTCCCTCCTCACCGGCCTACCCCAGTGCAAACTCACCCCGCTTCAGACCATCCTGAACTCAGCTGCCAGACTCATCCACCTCACCACCCGCTCCACCTCTGCCACCCCCCTCTGCCTCTCCCTCCACTGGCTCCCCATTGCCCAACGCATTAAATTCAAACTGCTCACTCTGACCTATAAAGCCATTCACAACACTGCCCCTAACTACCTCACCGACCTGATTCCCAGATACCACCCTACCCGTACCCTTCGCTCTTCACAGGACCTCCTTCTATCTTGCTCCCTGGTCTCCTCCTCCCACGCACGACTGCAAGACTTCTCCAGGTCCTCCCCCATCCTCTGGAACTCACTACCCCAACCCATCAGACTGTCACCTTCCCTCCTCACCTTCAGGCGCTCCCTGAAAACCCACCTCTTCAGGGAAGCCTACCCCACCCTCACCTAACAGCCGCTGCCCTTCCCTCCTCCTTCCACTCCATCCCCCACAGCCATTTCCTCCTGTACCTCTACCCCCTCCCTCCTAGATTGTAAGCTCGAAAGAGTAGGGCCCTCTTACCCCTTGTGTGCTGTTTGATGTTACTGTACTGTTTCATGTATTGTCCCCCCTCTATTGTACAGCGCTGAGCAAACCCTTTGGCGCTATATAAACTCGATAAATAAATAAATAATAAATAAATGTTGATTTCTGCACTGGTGCATGGTGAAGGGATCAGTAACACGGAAGAACCAAATGAAAATTATAATCTAATTTGTTTTATTTTTGTCACGGGACTGTAATTATATATATATAATTTTTTTGGGATTTTTTTGATTTTTTGTCACTTGATTTTTTTGTCACTGGACTTATGATTCTAATGTTTATATATATTTTTTTATATATCAATTTATTTATATATATTTATATTATATATATCTTTATCAGCACAGTAATGTTTTTTTTTAAAAGCTGAGTAATGTAATTGACCATGTGGGTTTGCGCTGGTTTTCATTGTTAAAAGTTTTTTGTGGAAAGGTGAATGAGTCTGGCAGCCGTATTCAGGATGGACTGAAGCGGGGATAGCCAGCGGCGAGGCAGGTCAGTGAGGAAGGAGTTGCAGTATTTAGAGTGGAGACTGCGAGCCAGGCCTCCTCCCCCGACATCAGTGCCTGAAGAATGGTCCAACCTTCCCATAAACACCCTCCTAAACACCCTCCTAAACCTTGTGGACGGCCTTCCCAGAAGAGTTGAAGCTGTTATAGCTGCAAAGGACGGGGCCAACTCAATATTGAACCCTACGGACTAAGACTGGGGGGCCATTAAAGGTCATGTGTGTGGAAAGGGCGGGGCCAACTCAATATTGAACCCTACGGACTAAGACTGGGGGGCCATTAAAGGTCATGTGTGTGGAAAGGGCGGGGCCAACTCAATATTGAACCCTACGGACTAAGACTGGGGGGCCATTAAAGGTCATGTGTGTGGAAAGGGCGGGGCCAACTCAATATTGAACCCTACGGACTAAGACTGGGGGTCCATTAAAGGTCATGTGTGTGGAAAGCCCGGCGGTCCAATACTTCTGGTAATATAGTATTTGTTTTAACTAAAATAACTTTCAATGTATTTTTTTATTAACAGAAAATATGAGTTTGATAACCCGTGGCGCCAATATCACGTGACGTAAAGAATTGGATCTACCACCATTTTATTCTCCAGGGTCTCTGCTTCCATGAAAATATATCTTATTTGAAGGGGGTTTAACATGTGCGCAAAAAAATGCAAAAATGGCTCTGGAAGTATAAGGGTTAAAGACTAATGCAAGCCAACTTTTTTTGGTTTTGGATGGGGTGGGGGGAGGGTTCTATTTCTTCTTTGTGACTCCGCAGGTAGATGGCACTTCATTAAATGTCCTGGGGTTACTAGGACAAGGAATTGGGGGGGGGGTTGTCATTGGGAAAGGAAGGCACGGACAGCAGTGAAACATAGTCAGATGTTCCAACCTTTCCCCACTCCACTAAAAATGTGACTATGTCTGTGTCCCGGTTGCAGAGATTTCCTATCACTTCCTCTTCTGATAGGAAGTGACGGAAAATCACCCAACAGTAGCACAGAGAGAGGCTCCACCCACAAAGGGACCGTTAGGTGTGGAGAGTGAAGTCCTGGTGGATGGGGAGGGGGCAGTGTCCTCCTTACATAGCCCTGGTCGGAGCCGGTGCTGACGTAGGTCAGTTTGTCACGGATGTCGGTGCAGTCCAGGGCACGGATGAGGGTGTAGTAGAGGAGTTCCTTCGGCTTCGGGAATTTCTTCAGGAGATCGCGAGACTCTACAGAAAAGAGAAAATCCGACGTCAGCCCGAGATCCGGAGCCCGGAGTCAGAGCTACTGCAAGAGGCAAGGTATCGTGGGAAAAGGGGGAGGGGAAACAGGGGGCAGTGACACCTGATTGGGGACGACGACGACACCAACACACTGGAGGGGGGAATAAGGACACCGATGCCATATAGGGGATGGAGGGGGCAGAGGACAATGAGGTAGAGGGGGGAGAAGTCACAGAGGACACAGACACCTGAGGAGGAAGGGGGGGGGACAGAGGACAGACGCCTGACATGGGGGGGGGGAGACAGAGGGCACAGACGCCTGACATGGGGGGGGAGACAGAGGGCACAGACGCCTGACATGGGGGGGGGGACAGAGGGCACAGACGCCTGACATATGGGGGGGACGACACAGAAGGCACAGACGCCCGACATGGGGGGGGAGGGACAGAGGAAACAGACGCCCGACATGGGGGGGGGGGGGTGGGGGGGGGGGGGGGACAGAGGACACAGACGCCCGACATGGGGGACGGGGACGGGGGGACAGAGGACACAGACGCCTGACATGGGGGGGGGGGACAGAGGACACAGACGCCTGACATGGGGGGGGGGGGGGACAGAGGACACAGACGCCTGACATGGGGGGGGGGGGACAGAGGACACAGACGCCTGACATGGGGGGTGGGGGACAGACGCCTGACATGGGGGGGGGACAGACGACCTGACCTGACATGGGGGGGGGACAGACGCCTGACATGGGGGGGGGACAGACGCCTGACATGGGGGGGGGGGGACAGACGCCTGACATGGGGGGGGGGGGACAGACGCCTGACATGGGGGGGGGGGGGGGGACAGACGCCTGACATGGGGGGGGGGGGACAGACGCCTGACATGGGGGGGGGGGGGACAGACGCCTGACATGGGGGGGGGGGGACAGACGCCTGACATGGGGGGTGTGGGGGACAGACGCCTGACATGTGGGGGGGGGGGACAGACGCCTGACATGGGGGGGGGGGACAGACGCCTGACATGGGGGGGGGGGACAGACGCCTGACATGGGGGGGGGGGGGGACAGACGCCTGACATGGGGGGGGGGGGGGACAGACGCCTGACATGGGGGGGGGGGGACAGACAGACGCCTGACATGGGGGGGGGGGACAGACGACACTGACATGGGGGGGGGGGACGCCTGACATGGGGGGGGGGACAGACGGCCTGGACATGGGGGGGGGGGGGACAGACGCCTGACATGGGGGGGGGGACAGACGACACTGACATGACATGGGGGGGGGGGGGACAGACGCCTGACATGGGGGGGGGGGACAGACGCCTGACATGGGGGGGGGGACACAGACGCCTGACATGGGGGGGGGGGAGGACACAGACGCTGACATGGGGGGGGGGGGGGGGGAGACAGACGCCTGACATGGGGGGGGGGACAGACGCCTGACATGGGGGGGGGGGACAGGGAAACAGACGCCTGACATGGGGGGGGGGACAGGCCTGACAGATGGGGGGGGGGGACAGACGTCTGACATGGGGGGGGGGACAGACGCCTGACATAAGGGGGGGGGGGACAGACGCTGACATGGGGGGGGGGGACAGACGCCTGACAGACAGACGTTACCTGACATGGGGGGGGGGGGGGACAGACGCCTGACATGGGGGGGGGGACAGAGCCTGACATGGGTGGGGGGGACAGACGTCTGACATGGGGGGGGGGGGGCCTGACATGGGGGGGGACACAGACGCCTGACATGGGGGGGGGGGGGACACAGACGTCTGACATGGGGGGGGGGACAGAGGACAGACGCCTGACATGGGGGGGGGGGACAGAGGACATGGGGGGGGGGGGGGACAGACGCCTGACATGGGGGGGGGGGGGACAGACGCCTGACATGGGGGGGGGGGACAGACGCCTGACATGGGTGGGGGGGGGGGACAGAGGACACAGGGGGGGGGGACAGACGCCTGACATGGGGGGGGGGGGGACAGACGACACAGACTGACATGGGGGGGGACAGACGGGACACAGACGCCTGACATGGGGGGGGGGGGACAGAGGACACAGACGCCTGACATGGGGGGGGGGGGGACGCCTGACATGGGGGGGGGAGGACACAGACGCCTGACATGGGGGGGGGGGGACAGAGGACACAGACGCTGACATGGGGGGGGGGGGGACAGAGGACACAGACGCCTGACATGGGGGGGGGGGACAGAGGACACAGGCGCCCGACATGGGGGGGGGGACAGAGGACACAGACGCCTGACATGGGGGGGGGGGGGACAGAGGACACAGACGCCTGACATGGGGGGGGGGGGGGACAGAGGACACAGACGCCTGACATGGGGGGGGGGACAGAGGACACAGACGCTGACATCGGGGGGGGGGGACAGAGGACACAGACGCCTGACATGGGGGGGGGGGACAGAGGACACAGACGCCTGACATGGGGGGGGGGGGGGGGACACAGACGCCTGACATGGGGGGGGGGGGGGGGACAGACGCCTGACATGGGGGGGGGGGGACAGACGCCTGACATGGGGGGGGGGGGACAGACGCCTGACATGGGGGGGGGGGACAGACGCCTGACATGGGGGGGGGGGGGGGACAGACGCCTGACATGGGGGGGGGGGGACAGACGCCTGACATGGGGGGGGGGGGACAGACGCCTGACATGGGGGGGGGGGACAGACGCTGACATGGGGGGGGGGGGGGGGACAGACGCCTGACATGGGGGGGGGGGGACAGACGCCTGACATGGGGGGGGGGGGACAGACGCCTGACATGGGGGGGGGGGGGGGACAGACGCCTGACATGGGGGGGGGGGGGGGGACAGACGCCTGACATGGGGGGGGGGGGGGGACAGACGCCTGACATGGGGGGGGGGGACACAGACGCCTGACATGGGGGGGGGGGAAGACAGACGCCTGACATGGGGGGGGGGGGGACGACAGACGCCTGACATGGGGGGGGGGGGACACACAGACGCCTGACATGGTGGGGGGGGGGGGGGGGACACAGACGCTGACATGGGGGGGGGGGACGACACACGCCTGACATGGGGGGGGGGGGGGACAGACGCCTGACATGGGGGGGGGGGACATGACGCCTGGGGGGGGGGGCGACAGACGCCTGACATGGGGGGGGGGGGGGGACAGACGCCTGACATGGGGGGGGGGGACAGACGGCTGACATGACATGGGGGGGGGGGACAGACGCCTGACATGGGGGGGGGGACAGACGCCTGACATGGGGGGGGGGGGGACAGACGCCTGACATGGGGGGGGGGGACAGACGCCTGACCAGACACAGCCTGACATGGGGGGGGGGGACAGACGCCTGACATGGGGGGGGGGGGGACAGACGCCTGACATGGGGGGGGGGACAGACGCCTGACATGGGGGGGGGGGGACGCCTGACAGACGCCTGACATGGGGGGGGGGGACAGACGCCTGACATGGGGGGGGGGGGACAGACGCCTGACATGGGGGGGGGGGGACAGACGCGCCTGACATGGGGGGGGGGACCATGGGGGGGGGGGACAGACGCCTGACATGGGGGGGGGGGGACAGACGGCCTGACATGGGGGGGGGGGACAGACGCCTGACATGGGGGGGGGGGGACAGACACAGCCTGACATGGGGGGGGGGGGGGACAGACGCCTGACATGGGGGGGGGGACAGACGCCTGACATGGGGGGGGGGACAGACGCCTGACATGGGGGGGGGGGGAACAGACGCCTGACATGGGGGGGGGGGGAAAACAGACGCCTGACATGGGGGGGGGGGGGACAGAGGACACAGACGCCTGACATGGGGGGGGGGGACATGGGGGAGGACACAGACGCCTGACATGGGGGGGGGGGGGACAGACGCCTGACATGGGGGGGGGGACAGAGGACAAGGCGCCTGACATGGGGGGGGGGACAGAGGACACAGACGCCTGACATGGGGGGGGGGGGGACAGAGGACACAGACGCCTGACATGGGGGGGGGGGGACAGAGGACACAGACGCCTGACATGGGGGGGGGGGGGGGACAGAGGACACAGACGCCTGACATGGGGGGGGGGGGGGACAGAGGACACAGACACCTGACATGGGGGGGGGACAGAGGACACAGACGCCTGACATGGGGGGGGGGGGGGGCAGAGGACACAGACACCTGACATGGGGGGGGGGGGGACAGAGGACACAGACGCCTGACATGGGGGGGGGGGGACAGAGGACACAGACGCCTGACATGGGGGGGGGGGGGACAGACGCCTGACATGGGGGGGGGGGGGGGGGGGGACAGACGCCTGACATGGGGGGGGGGGACAGACGCCTGACATGGGGGGGGGGGGGGGGACAGACGCCTGACATGGGGGGGGGGGGGGGGACAGACGCCTGACATGGGGGGGGGGGGGGGGGACAGACGCCTGACATGGGGGGGGGGACAGACGCCTGACATGGGGGGGGGGCCGACAGACGCCTGACATGGGGGGGGGGGGGGACAGCGCCTGACATGGGGGGGGACGGGGGGGGACAGACGCCTGACATGGGGGGGGGGGACAGACGCCTGACATGGGGGGGGGGGGACAGACGCCTGACATGGGGGGGGACAGACGCCTGACATGGGGGGGGGGGACAGACGCCTGACATGGGGGGGGGGACAGACGCCTGACATGGGGGGGGGACAGAGGACACAGACGTCTGACATGGGGGGGGACAGAGGACAGAGACACCTGACATGGGGGGGGACACAGACACCTGAGGAGGGGGGGGTAGAGGTCACGGACACTTAATAGGGAGGGCAGTCTAACCTCTCTTCATGTCTCCGTCTGTCTCCAGGCTCACCCGATGCCCTCCCGCACACAACACCCGCATTTGTTGCACGGACACCCGATACAGCATGCGACTGAGAAGCGGCATGACAGTCCTGTATACCGCCATGTCTGCGGAGTCATAGAGAAAAGAGGAGCTGGGAGGAGTGGCGGAGAATGACACAGCGCCATCAGCGAGAA